GAGACAGTGCCTGACCAAAGGCACCAAATGACCATTCAACCTGAGCAGCCCATGGTGAGTCGAATGTCGTTTGACCCATAAAGAGGGACATACAAAGCAATCATCCATTATGTGATGCAAATGACACATTTGGAGCAGGCTCCAGCTGGTCCAGAATGCAGAAGTCAATTGCATGAGAAGGTGGGCATTGGGAGGAACTCTACATAATTAACTGATAGGTATGCCAGCATGATTTGGTGGCACTAGTAACAGCATGTTCCTTTGGTATCCCTGAAAGACAGTGGTAAAGGGAAATCCTACTGGGCACAGAGCTACAAGTATACATTTGGTCACCCACTTTGTATGCATGGGATGATCATCCAAGATAAGGCTATGCATAGGTCACAGGGAAGGGCAAGTGACCCAGTCACTGGTCAGGTCCTGCAAGGAATAAAATTGAAAAACTGGAGAAAAAGACATTTGAGAAACAGGTAAGTTGTGGCAACCAGGACAAGGAAGCAGCTGCATAGCTTTGTTCTCAAGACTCAGAGCTTCAGGGTGGGGATTTAGCTCACTGGCATAAGCCTGCCTGGCAAGCATGAGGTCAGGAGTTCGATCCCCAGTACCAAAAAAAGAAAAAAAAAAAAAAAAAAAAAAAGAGTGAGAGCCTCATTAAAGCTTATGCCTAAGGAATCTCATTTGCTTTGCTGGATCTAACCTCACTAGGTGGCCCTACGGAGGTATGCACACAGGTACAAATCTTTGGGGCTCACATCAGTGCCCATCAATGGGTATCTGAGAGGAGTGAATGACGAGTTGGGCAAATAACGACCTGCATGTCAGTGGCCTTTCTCATCAGCTGGCACAATGAGCTGATAAACAGAAGACTTGCTGACCAGACAGAGGCTTTGCACGGACTTAGGATCAGAGCTGGCTTCTCATCAAGGTTGAGAGCTACTAATAAGTGTCTAAGTTGCTCACAACAGAGGTTAACACAGACCACTAACCCTGGCACTATTCCTTAGTGGAAAACAGAACGCCCACCCATATTATAGGAGGCTGATCACATCAGATCCCCTTCCCTTTTGAGGGAACACTAATTTGTCCTTATCAGAACCATTATAAATCCCAACACAGTCACCACACCTACAGAATGCCTGGCCTCTCATACCCCACACCACAGTGCCTGAGAACAAGAAGTCTATTCTACGACATAGTCATGAAGGTAGGCTCATGATCACAAGGCTTTCAGGCCTCACTCATTACTCACAATTACTCTGCTTATGGAATAATGGAACAGCCTGTTGAAGGCTTAGGAAGGCATCTGCAAAGCGACCTCTCCCAAAACTAGAAATCTCTTTCCTCTAAGGTGGAGTGTATGCTTTAAACCAATCCTCACAATACCACAGTGTGTCCCTTATAATCCTCTCTGCACAGTTCTGGGTACCAAGCACTAGAATTAGGAATAGTCACTCTCATCATTACATCAAATGACTTATTTGTGAATGTATGAATCCTTTCACCATAATCTTGGATCTTCCAGGTTAGATCCTAATTAACAGAAGAAAAAGACTTCTGATACCAGGGATATAGCTAAGCAGCACAAGCAGCTACCTGGCAAGTGCAAGGTCTTGAGTTCAATTCCCAATACCAAACTGAAACTATGCACCTTGGGATTCTCACACAGTGGACCAATAGGCAAAAAGAAGTTCCACTACCAACTGAGATAATCAGTCACAGTGACCATGAGGAGCTAGACTGCCTGCTATCTAACTGGAGCATGGAGGAGAATGTCCCAACCCAAGGATGGTCTGGGACAGCTCTTTCATGCTGAAGATGACAGCTAATGAGTAGCTGAAAAAACCAACAAGAGCTGGGAGGCTGAGGCAGGAGGACTGCCATGAGTTAGAGGCCAGCGTGAGCTACGTAGTAAGTTCAAGGCCAACCTGTGGTACATAGCAAAAAAAAAAAAAAAAAAAAACCAACAAGGGAAGGGCAACTAGGGGTCTACACATTTTCTGAATGAAGGCCTGGATCATTCTACTTGGTAAATGACCCAGATGAGGTGAATTACAAACTGGGGGTGGGGACCTCTGGAATGGGCAGGGAAGGAAGGGTAGTGGTTTCAGTTAGTGTCTGATCCATAATGACAGTTTTTTTCCCTAATCTTTTTACCTTAGTCTTTGAGAAAAACCCTCTTGACGGGAATGCTGATTTTGAAAGGAATGCTGTAACAGACTTGGGCCTGTCGCTTTCTTTTTGGGGACAAATAAGGAACCAAGAATGTCTTTGTATACAACAAATTTCAGCCAGATATTTCAATATGGGAGCTGGATATAATGAAAGGGTTCAAAGGGTATTAAAGACTGTATTAAACACAAAACTTGCATATCCCGTATAAGTTTTAAACGTATAAGTATCTTTTGACTCCTTGTTTCCAAAGGGGACGCTTGCCTCCAAGACCACCACCATCTTTACCCACGTCCCTTCTACTCTCTCTGTGGCCAGAGCAGGAGTCCAGGCTGAAGTAGTCAGACGCAGACTGCATGGTCTTCACAGCCTACATGTTGAGCCCCATCTCTCATAGAGTCAGGCTTCTATTTCTTTGTTTGTTTGTTTTGATTTTTTTGTTTGTTTGTTCGGTTTTGGTTTTTTGAGACAGGGCCTTGCTATGTATCCCAGGCTGGTCTCAAACTTGCAACCATCCTCCAGCCTCAATCTCTTGAGTGCTGGGATCCCAGGGATACGCCACCATGCTTGGCCCCATTTCTGATTAATATCACACCCACCTCATGGGCCATGAGATTTGGCTTCCCGAGTGAACATCAAGGATGCAGAAGATGCGGCCTCTGAGTCTGTATCTATAGGATGATCTTGACCAACAGGGAGCGGCAAGTGAGAGGGAGATGGGCAGACAAATTCCTCCTCTTCTCTCTTGGGGGATCACTCCAAGGTGTGACTTCAGTTTGGACACTGTCTGAGGAAAGTCATCTTTGCCAGGAAAAAGTGGCTGTCACACAAGCTGTCACTTTTTGTGGCTGAGTTTGATATGGCAGAGAGTGTACGGAGCTGTGGTACTGTGCTACCTTCTCCCCCTCATCACTCTGAGCGTGGGCCACCGTATAGAACCATGCTTCCCCACCTTCCTCATCCGTGCTTAACCTCCACAACTCACACACACACCCACGCACAAGAGGGCTCCTGTACAGCTGCCCACCAACTTGCCACAACCTTCGCTTTCATTTTAAGTACAAAGCAATTTTATAATAGCCAAAAGTAGATGACAATATCTTAACCACATAGTCCAAGTTTGAAAGATGAGCACTGGCATAAACCAACATGATATGCATTTAGGACACCATAGCCCTCTGTGACATGGCCACAATCTTTAATAAGACTGTATGAGGGGCCAGGGGTTTAGCTCAGTGGCATAAGTGCCTGCTTGGCATGAGGTTGTGAGTTCAATCCCTGGCACAAAAGAAAAAAAAAAAAAAAACACCTCTATTGGCACACCTGTAATCTCAGCATTCTGGGAGGCTGAGGCAGAAGGATCATAATTTCAAGTCCCACCTGTGCAATTTAAGTGACTTAATGAGAATCTGTCTCAAAATAAAAATTAAAAAATAAAAAAAAGGCTGTGGACACAGCTGAGATAGTAATCATTCACACAGGCAGAAAGCACAGAGCACCCAATGAATGCCCAAGGGCATGGAGCACTACAGAATGCCCTGAGTATATGGAGCATCTGAGGTGAACAGGTGTTCCAGCCCTGAGAACACAGGGCATAAGAGATGAGCTAGCTAAACAAAGGGGCATCACATGACAGATATATAAATACACGCATTGTGGTGAATGAGCAGTCTCTTCCTCCCATTCGGAGAGCGGGCTCCACCTAACCTCTTGCCATCTTCCCCTCCCCCACCCCAGGAATTTTGAGAGCTGCAAAGACCCTGGATTCAATACTCAGTCCCCCCCACCACCACCACCAAAAAACAAAAAAAACCCTCTGTTGGCCTGACTCACCAATGTTTTTTGGATGGTACTGGGGGCTGAACCTAGAGTTCACATGTGGTAGACAAGCAATCTACCAGTGAGTGTACGCCTAGCCTTTTTTTTTTTTTAACACAATATCTCACTATGTAGTCTAGACCTGGCCCTCCTCCCTCATCATCCTGAGGAGCTGAGATTATGGGAGTGTGTCACCATGTCCAGCTGCCTCCTGACATATTAAGACAGTCTTTATCCTTTCTGGGTTGATGGCACCAAGAACAGTATATAGTGAGTAGTCATGAATCTTTGGCTTAAATCACAAAAAAATTAGTGAAAGAAATCTAGGTCCTGGCCCCAGCTGTGCAAGCAACTTGAGAGGTATGAAAGACTCTGGTGAAGGGTTTCACTTTCCTCAGCCTCTGTGCACCTTCCCGGGGAATGGGACCATAAGGTTCCCTGCCCTCTACCTGGTCTGTGAGGATCTAGTGAGAAGGACCTGGGATTAGTGTTTGGAGCAGCAAGGGGAGAGTTTAAGATACCACCACTGATGCTGCTAACAGTCCTCTAATAGTGTTGACACTAAGAATGACCCGCTTCATTGGAGGAAATTGTACTCCTTTCCTGCAGGACTGTCTGGTTTTGCCTGTATCTAGCTCCATCCTCTGCACAAGGATGGCAGCCAAGCCTCTTCCTCCACAACTAGTCTCACAGATTCCATGGCTTTAAAAAGTCTTTCCAGAAGTTTCCAGAAGTTTGAGCCACCTCATTCCTGTTGGTGCCCTGTTCCTTCCCTCCTCATGTCTCCTCAAAACATCATAACAGAGAAGCCCTGGACACCCTCTAAAGCTTATCTGGAACAAGGAAGCAGAGAAAGGATCAGGAGGGATAAAGGTTAGATAGGAGGAGGACTTCCCAACACCTAAACCCAGACTGACAAAAACCCAGCATCACCTTCAACAGCTTGGCTTCTGGGGGCAGGACAAGTGTCTTCCGACTTTCCGTGACGTGGGTCCTTGCCAGGGCTGAGGCTGTGGTTGAAGCGACATTTCCTGTGCCTGGGGGCCAGGGTGAGAGGAAAGATGAGTTGCTGAGTGTGCACACCTTTTAGGCACACATACACTCGCTCTGCTGCAGTCCCCTTCTCAGGCTGCCCCATGGAGATGCCCATGGCCCAGGTATGTCCCCAAGGTAAGTGTAAAGTCTAGGGGTGGGTGGCAGGGACCATCAAGGCCCTCAGTCCGAGCTGGGTTGACTGGCAAATGCCATAACCCCTAACTGCCTTCCTGGGAGGCCATATACATTCTGCTGAGGATAATGTCAGCATATACATTCTGCTGGGTGCTGCCTAGAGAAGAGAAAGGAGGGAACAAAGAGGGTGGCTGATAGAGGACCCTGAGCCAGAAGAGGGCCTTAACCCAAGAGCCCTTCCTCTCTCTGGTACTTCCCGGCCATCCAGAGATCACCCTAATTCCCAGGTTCTTGTCCCCCGCATTTTCCTCCACCCCCTCTGGCAAGGTTAACCCCTCTGTGATGCCTGTCTCCTTATTCCTCCCTGATGTCCCCTCTGTAATGGTGCTGTCATAACCATCCCATCCTGCAGACAGCTTGAGGGAGGAAGAGAGGTAGAGACAGGCGCTTCAGCCCTCTTTGTGCTAACAGGGAGCCGCGAAGCCCCGCCCCCCACCTTCAGCACCTTCCAGCCCAGGGACTTGGCCCGAAAAAGCTGTCAGGGCCTCGGGTTGTTCCTAGAGCCCACGCTGCAGACCCTAAGGATGGGGGAGCCCCAACCCAGTCCTGGGGCCCCAGCTGCTGTCCATACTTCGGTGAGTAGGAACACGGGGTGTGTGTGCCTCCCTCATTTGCTCCTGCCTTCCCATGAGTGCAGTCCTGTGTGTAGACAAAGATCACAAAGATCTGGTACTCTTCTCAGGGCTGGGGTTACACAGGTAGGAAAGAAGACCCCACTTGCTCCCACTTTACGGTGAATCCGAACTTGCTCCCTGCTACTCCAGGGAGCTCAGGCTAGGTCCACAGGTGGCCAGAGCATCTCTAAGTCAGTGCTTTCATCCACCCAGTGCATTCTGGATCCTTCTTGGTCCTTCTCATTCACCTGCTCACCAGGAATCTGCTCTGTGCATTGCTCAGTCCCTCATCTCATAGGGAAGCTTCCTCATCTGGCCACCAGGATGACTTCCTGAGCCATCTGCTAGGGAGTGACTTTATGCTCATCTGGAAAGCCTCCATGCCGCTCTCCGCTCTTCATAATAGCTCACTGGTTCTGGATTAAACACCCTCCATTCCAGAGGGGAGAGGGAGGAAAGTCCCAGGAAACCAAATAGTTGGAGCTAAGGAATGGATTTAAATCAGTGACTTTGGAAAGGACTTTCTTGCTGGGCAATTTTATCCTCAAATGGAGGAGGGGCTCGATATCGAGGAGAAGATGGAGGAGTAGCCTATTAATCATGATTGCTTCAGCCTCCCAAAACCCTTCTCCTACGCAGGCATTTCCCCCAGCCCTGGGGGCTGCTTGTATCCCAGGGAATGTGGAGAAAGCTGAAGAGGTACCTGAGGAAGGCAGCCTGTCTCTGCAGGCTGAGATCCGTGCTTGGTTCCAGGAGACCCAGGCCCACTCGCTCCTGCAGTGTGGGGCAGCTCCGGCCTGGTTCCACGGCTTCATCACCCGAAGGTGAGTCACAGAGGAGGACCCAGCCCCAGTGAGCCAAAGGACAGGTCCTGGGTCTGGAGCCCGCCAGAACTCCATGCGGCCTGGGGCTGGGTTCAGCCCCAGGGGTTTCCTTTTGCTTTGATGGCTTTCCTGGGGAGGGTCATTGAAGAGGTCCAGCCCAGCTCTGTGTTTCTCAGTTTCCCCTCTGAAGGTACCCTATCCTCCTGTCCTTGAGGACACTAGTCCTCCTGTGTTCTGCTTCTCTGTACCTCCACCTCTTATTTTTTTCCTTTTTTTGAGCTAGGATCTTGCTATGTAGTCTAGGATGGCCTTGAACTCACTATGTAGTCCAGGCTATCCGTAAACTCAAGTGCTGCAATTATAGGCACAAGCCACCACATCTGGTTTTTTTTCTTGTTTGCAGTACTGAGATTGAACCCAGGGCCTTTGCACCAAGATACATTCCCAGCCCTTTTTATTTTTTATTTTGAGACAGCATCAAGTCGCTGAAATGCCCAGACTGAGCTCAGACTTGCAATTCTCTTGCATCAGTCTCCCAGAGTGCTGGGGTTACAGATGTGCAATGCCACGCCTGGCTCTCTTGCTCCATCTTTGTCTCTGGTTCTATCCAGCCTGCTCCTCCTTCTTCCCCTCTTCTCCAACAGTCTGTTCCACTTCTGTCTCTTTCTTCACCTCTTCAGTCCAGCTTGTGGCTTCTGAAGTCTGGAAATCTAACAAGCATCCCACTGCTGCGGCCCCAGCCCCTCCAGGTTGTCCTTCCAGGTTGAGGCCGGGACAGGACTGGGGTGAGGTCCCCGGTCTTGCATGGACCCTGACTCTTGCATAGCCTTCAGCTTTTCCGCTTAGTGTGGGGACCTCCATGAAAGCCGAGGAGGCAGGAGGAGCAACCCGGTTCCCCTCTTCTCTCTGTCACCTTCAGGGAGGCTGAGAAGCTGTTGGAGCCCCAGCCTCAGGGGTGCTACCTGGTGAGGTTCAGCGAGAGTGCCGTGACCTTCGTGCTGACCTACAGGTGAGGGGGGCGCGTCGGGGACCAGTGGCAGGGTTTAGGTCAAGGGGCGGGGCTCGGCACCGGCACAGAATCCTACAGATCTGGTTTTGCACTCAGCGGGCGGCCAACTGGAGTGAGACCTTGGCCGGGGGCGGGTAGGGGTGCAAATGTGATCCCTAGTGGGCCCTGCAGGAGCCAAGCTTGCTGCCGCCACTTCCTGCTGGCCCAGCTCACAGATGGGCGCCACGTGGTGCTGGGTGAGGACAGTGCCCACGCACGGCTGCAGGATCTGCTAAGCCACTACACTGCACAGCCGCTCAGCCCCTATGGAGAGACGCTGACCCAGCCCCTCGCCCGCCAGGTAGGCATCTGCGACCCCGCCAGCCCCACTCCCAACAGAACTGGGGTTCCACCTCCCTGGCTACACACTGCGGGATAAGTGCTGGCAAGAGGCCCAGGGGACACCAGCCGAGTTGCACAAACCACAGGGACAGGGGTAGGCACAGAGCAGCGGGTCACACCCCATGTGACCTTTAAGGTATGCTTACAGATTTCAGGCCGGGGATATAGCTCAGCCGCACAGCGCCTGCCTGGCAAGTGCAAGGTCCTGAGTTCTATTCCCAGTACAAAAGTAAATAGTGCTTACAGAGCTGGGCATGGTAGCATAGACCTGTAATCTGGAGGCTGAAGCAGGAGCATCACTGCAAGTTTGAGGGCAATTTGGGGTACATAGAGACCCTATCTCAAAAAAAAAAAAAAAAAAAAAGATATACCTACAGAGTCCCTACTGTGTCCTGAGCTTAGGCTGACAGGCCCTGGGAGTGAACCATGTATAAAACAGGAGGATCTCATACTCACAAACCTCACTTTCCAGCAGCAATGGCAATTAAGTCATAGAAATCAAGTACATGGAATGCCTATCTGAACAAGTTCAGGGAGTTCTAAGAGACATGGTGCCAGGGGGGCATCCTTCTGGGCACTGGGGAAATGGTGAACAAAACTGACCACAACATCCCAACTCTCTAACAGGTAACAAGTAATAGTAAATTGATAGTACATAGGAAGTCCAGTAAAAAAAAAAATAAATAAATAAATAAATGAGGGCCTAGAGTTTAGCTCAGCAATGTAAGTGCCTGCTTGGCAAGCATGAGGTCATAAATTCAATCCTTAGTACCAAAAAATAAATAAATTAATTAATTAAAAAAGAAGAGTGACGAGGTTAGGGCATCAGTGAAAGCAACTGTGGTTAGTATACCTCTGAACAGAGGACTGGTAGCATTCTAGGCTGTAATAACAGCAAGTGCAAAGGCCGTGAGGTAGTGCTGCAGAATCCAAGAGATCAAAGAGACCAATAGGGAAAATGAAGGATTTATTTCCAGGATTTTAGATGCGTATAGACCTAGCCGAGCTTAAGTCAAAACACTAAAACAAAGGAAGGGTACTACTTTTAGACATTTGGTTTAGAAGTTGGTCTTTAGAAAGGAGGTGGGGACTAGGAGAGCAAGGGTACAGAAGTAAGACAAAACAGTTAACAACTTGGCCTTGAGAGAAGACACAACCTCATGAATCCTGTGAGAACAAGACATAGTTGCCAGTTTTATCTGTACCAGAACAAGAAGTTACAGCTATGGGTGGGGGAAGAGGGCCGAGGGGGTTGTTGTTTAGGTGCCACTTCAGTAGGAAAACATCTGATGAACAGTGAGAGAGAGAGAGAACACACAAAAGACAGCAGTGAGGAAGCCAGCAGGAGTGCTTCCGTGTGACAGGGATACAGAGGTAGAAGATGCCAGAGAGGTAGGTTGGCGGCCCTGCGGACTCTGGTAAGGACTTGGGATTGCATGCAGATGAGGTTGCACTAGAGCTGTGAGGAGTGTCGAGGCCAGGCAAGACTAGAAGGGGCAAGGAGGGACTGATGGAGGGACTGATGGGACAAGGCAGCATGCGCCTGGTGCAGGTGGAGTGAGGAGCAGGGTGCTGATCCTAACAGGGGCAGCCTGCAGGGTTTTTGCAGGGTTGGATCAGGAGTAAACAAAGAGCGTGCTGTGACTGACTGCAGGTAGGAAGAGCAAACCTGGATGGACAGAAGATGGGGTGCACTGGGCAACATGCACAGTTGGAGATGTCCCTTCAGCATCCAGATGTGGGTGTCAAGAAGGCAGTGGCTGCTGGGGATGCAGCTCAGTGGTGGAGTAATCAGCATCAGGGAGAGCTTGGAACTGCCATTCAGGACCCCTCCTGTCTCTCAGCAGCTATTCCTATTCCCCAATACATTTTCCTACTCTAAAAAACAACAACAGATGGAGCCTGGAGCCTTCGAGATAGGTCAGGAAGGGTCTATATCCAGAAATCAACGTAGATGGAAAAGAAATAAAATGCTTGGTCTCCAGCATTCCAAATTTGCAGAAAAGAGGCGGTAGCCCGGGAACAATTGAGAAGGGCAGCAGAGAAACAGAGGAGAAAAGCACGGTGCTGTGGAAGCCAAGCAGAGAACAGGATCCAGGAAAAATGAGCCGAACACTGATCTTTGGATCTAACAGGAAGTCACTGGTAACCCCGACAAGGAGCTCCAGGGAGCTGTGCACAGCCTTTTGTGAGGTAGAGGCAGGGAACCTGAAGGTTTCTAAGCAGCCAGGGCAGGGATGAGGAGGAATGGGCTGGAACTGAGAAAGCTAAAAGTGTCAGTGACCAAGACTGACTAAGACCAGGTGCGACAGGAATTGAGCTTACTCTGAGAAGCTGGTAGCTCTGGCAGGTTGCCAGCAGAGTTCAGGTAAGGACTGAAGAATGGGTCCTTAGGGCTAGAGGAAAGGGGTGGGCAGAGTGGGAGGCACAAAGCAGAGGTGAAGGCTGAGAGAAGAGGGCAGACATGAAAGATATTTAGGTGGCTGGGTGTGGTGGCACACACCTGTAATCCCAGCACTCAAGAGGTTGAAGCAGGAGGATTGTTGCAAGTTTGAGGCCAGCCTGCGCTACAAAGTGAGTTTAACATTGGCTTGAACTGCATAGCAAAACCCTATTTTTAAAAGACTAGGGCTGGGGATTTAGCTCAGTGGCATAAGTGCCTGCCTAGCAAGCGCGAGGTCATGAGTTCAGTCTCCAGCACGCACACACGCGCGCGCGCGCGCGCACACACACGCACACACGACCAAAAACAAACAAACAAAAACACCTTAAAAACGAAAGATATTTAGGCAGCAAAAGAAGCAGGATTTGGGTTGCATCTGATGCAGGAGTGAGGTGGGTGTGTGGATGATTCTTAAGGTGTTATTTGGGCAGCGGGGTGAACTTGCCACTTTTTTTCAGTACTGAGAACTGAATCCAGGGCCTCTGCACTAAGCTATATCCCCAGCCCTTTTTTATTTTGAGACAGGGTTGCCCAGGCTGAGCTCCAACTTGTGACCCTCCTGCCTCAGCCTCCCAGAGGGCTACAGTTACAAACATGCACCACCACAGCTGGCTTAGGTTGGCACTTTTTATTTATGAATAAAATTCCATGGGAAGGCACAGAGATAAACTTCTGATTTGGATCCTGGAAGCCTGCAGCAGACACAGAAGCATGAGAAAGGCCCTGTGGCCTGGGCCTGCCACAAGCAGAGCATGTGGAGAGCAGTCAGGCATCCAGGGCCAGTGCTGAGCTGACTGGAGGTTCCCGTCTCCCACAGCACCTCTGCCCGTAAAATATCTAGCAATGCCTCCATAGCTAAATTCCTCCCACCCACAGAATAACCTACAGGCATAACGGCCTTGGAGACACCCACCACCCTCCCCATCATCCTGAAGCCTCGTCATCCTAGGACGAAACAGGGCTTAATGCCTCAGGCACAAAGGATGACTGGCCTGGCCCTGCCTTTCCATGGAAGGAAACTGAAGGCTGAGGCAGGTCTAAGACAGAGTTCACCTTTCTCCCTGTCCCTTGCCCTTCTCACGCACTGCCCAGCCCCAGGCTCTGTGTCCCTGTCCTTCCCCTCCCCATCCTGCTCTCAGGTCAGATATTCTATCCTTCTGGATCTCCGTTCCTGCACTGTACTCCCTCCCCCACCCAGCCCCTCAGGTCATCTCCTCTCCTTCCCCCAGACTCCAGAGCCCGCAGGGCTTTCCCCAAGGACTGAAGACTCAGATTCTGGAAGCAAAAGCCAGGACTTGAACCCCCTCTACCAACAGAATCCAACCCCAACCCCAAGGCACAAAGAAAAGGCTTGGGAGCCAAAGGAGGTACTGGAGGGAGGGGGGAAGACCTGAGAGTACAGGGGAGTATGGAGGGAAGCAAAAGGAGCAGAGGCCATAGCAGTGGGCCCCAGGCTGGGACCTGGTGGGGATCTACCACTCGGGCTGCCCTGACTGCCCGGCCATGCCCTTGTCCAGGTCCTGCTGCCCAGGTCCAAACCTCCTGTCCCTGCCAAGCCTGCGCTGCCCCCTGAGGTCTACGCAAGCCCTGCACCACGACCCCGGCCAACCCCACCACCCAGGCCTGTGACCCCCATCTACCACGAGCTGGATGAACCCATCGCTTTCTACGCCATGGGCCGGGGCTGCCCCCCAGAGACATCTGGCCACGTCTATGCAGAGCTGGATGGGTCAAATGCCTGCAGCCAGGTGAGGGGCTGCCACTGTCGGGTGGGCAGGAAGAGACGGGACCGCGTGGTTCAGCTGCCGGTGGCCTCTTCAGGGCCAGACAGAGATGGCTTCTCTTCACTCCTCCAGGGTCCCCTCTGTCACAGTCGCCTTCCTACTTCCCAAAGTAGAGATGCCACACGTGTCTCCCTCTCTTTTTCACCACCTCGGCTGGCTGCACTGTGGTCTGTGGCCATCTCATCCACTCTGCACCTTGATGCTAGTGTACCCCACTCCACACCTCTGTGGCGCCTCTCCCTCTGCCTTCATGGCTCTGCTGTCCTAGGGAAGGAGAACATTTGAGGTCCCGTGTGTCACCTGGGTTCAGGGGAAGGGACTTTGACCTCCTTCCATACATACCCTGTTTCCTTCCACACGCAGTCTTCCCTCTGGCCTTTCAAGCCTTATTCAGGGAGGGGATTGCGCTGAGGTGAGCCCCGCTGGCCGCTCCCACCGCCTTACTCCTCCTTCCTGCCTGCTCTTCCCTCCTTCTTACTCTATCCTCAGCCCTTGCTCCCTTCCCAGCCCTCCCTCCCTGCCAGCCCCCCACACTTTCACCACACCCCTGTCAACGGCTGCAGCTGGGGAGCTGATGTTGATCTCAGCTTCTAGGTGTCCCCAGCCTTCCCCCCAACTACACACACACACACACACACACACACACACACACACACACACAGCTAACCGACTCTCATTCTTGCCCCAAAGCTGCTCCCTCCCCTGTTCCTTGCCTGGAATCCTAGAGCTCCCTAAATATCTCTTCCCACTTTACCCCCACTCCTAAAGCTTCTAATCCCAGATTCTTATAGCATCTCTTCCTAAACATTCCTTCCTGCTCTATCCTCTTGTCCCCATACTGCCCCAGTCCTTTTTGAGACAGGATTTCACTGTTCAGGCAGGCCTTGAGTTTACTAGGTACCCCAGGCTGGCCTCAAATGCAGTGATTCTCCTGCCTCAGCCTCCCAAGAGGTGAGATTTCAGGCATGTACCACCATGCCCAGGCCCATTTTCTCCCCCGACCCCCTAGTCAAACTCATGAATTCATGCTTGTCAGACAGGTATTTGTGCCACTGAGCTAAATCCCCAGGGCTCCCCCTGCCCCATTGTCTCTTAGTCAGAACTTTCCAAAAGCTTCTTAACTGAACCAATCTGGCCACTGTGATACTTCTACCTCCAGAAAGTCAGACTGGCCTCCCTGAAGCAGTCCTCCTGCCATTGAAACCTTATACACTTAGTGGGGCCTCATCTTGGACCCCTGAGTGGGGTCCAAGCTCCTTGGCCTGCCACCAGCTGCTCTCATCATCCCAAACCATGCACCTTTCTCCAAAAGCATGCCTCCTAGGGTTTTGAGCATCCCAGGAAGTGCCCTGCCATTCCCTGTCCCTATAGCAATTTCTGTAGGCTCCTCCCCCTGCTCCCCAACAGCCTTCTAACCACACTTCAAGATCTGCTTGTCAGGGGATGGAATGTAGCTTAGTGACAGAGCTCTTGCCCAGCATGTAAAGGCGCTAAGTTTAATGCCTAGTACAACAAAAACAAAACAATTTACTTGTCCTTCTCTGGAAAGACTTGGCTGACTTGAACCACAGAGGTCACCAACTGTGCATTACACCACCTGTCATGCAGTTGGTCACCTGAGGCACCCATCTTTTCCATCTTCCTCTTCGCCCTCCCCTCAATAGAGTATGAGCTCCCTGTAAGCAAGGACTTATTCAGCTAACTCTAAACCACGTAGCCAGTGCCTGGCACTGAGCTGGTCCTCAGGAATGCTTGAGGAACGGGGTTAGCGGGGAGAAGGGAGAGAGGAGACAGGAGGGTTTTATACTTCCTTCTAGAAGCCAAGGCCTGCTAAGACCAGCTGCTTCTCCCCCTGAGACTACAGTAGGCCTGAGGCCGAGGGGAGGGGCTGTGACCTAGGACTGTCCTCTCTGCAGGATCCAGACAGTCTGTAGCTACCTCCTGGCAGCTCTGTGCCTGGCCAAGGCCCTCCCCTGCCCCAGAAGTCTCCATGCCCCTGGAGGTACATCCTTCTCCCTAGCCTTTACAGATGCTTCAGGACAGAAGATAGACAAGGCTTCCCTTGGTTCTGCCCAGTAGATGGTGAGTCTGAGTAGGAGAAAATGACTGGAACAGCAGGTGCAGAGACCTCCTCACATACCCGGGTAACCTCAGGAAATGGATGGGAGAAACCACAGGCAATCAAAGCTGAAGAGGACTTCAGCCCTCATCTATCACAAGGATGGCAAAAAGGTGTCAACTTGCCTGCCAACTTCAATCCATTGGTCATGACTGCCTAGAGCGCAGCACTGAAAAGGATCTTAAGGTCACATCTGAACTCAGCAGAAAAGAGCACTGTGACTGATTAGTGATGTCTGCTGTGGGTACAGAAAGGAGGAGGAACAGTGCTTCATCTGCCCTTACTGACCAAGTCTAGCTCCCTCACTGTGCAGGATGCAGAAACAAAGCCAGCGAGGCAAAGTGACTTAGCCAAGGTCAAGAACTAAAACCTAAGCTTCTTGATTCTCTCGTTCAGTGCCCTGTTCCTTGCCCCACATCCTGAAACTCTTCTCCTGCTTTCCTCTTTGCCTGTTTTACCGCTGGGGCCCTTAATGTTAGGTCCCCTCCTGGACGCAAGTTTAGCCCTGTGCCCTTGACAGTCTGCTCCCCACCCCCATCCCCACTCAGAAACCTAGAAGTCAGAGGAGCAAATGTGGAATCTGTCTCTTCTTAGGGACATTCGAACTGGCTTGTTCCCAAGAATCTCTGAAAATCCACTGCCTCAATGCCAGCGACCCTCTAAGATGGCAAGATATGTTCAAGGAAGCTCTGCTGGCCACTGCCCTGGTTTCTCCTCCTGGAGTCTAATTTCTTTGGTCCTCTGGGCCTTTGAGTCTGGGCTCTGGTCCAATGCTGCTGTTGTCTGAGGAATGCTTTGGTGAGAACAGATGTTAGAACTTGTTTGTTGATTCTCTAATAAATCATCACCAACAACCTGCCCCCCCTCGGGGATCCAAGTCCTCCAGCCTGTCTCTTTCCCCCTCCCCCACTGTCTGACTTCTCCGGCGTTACCACTGCAGCAGGGCAGACAGGTCTAGGGGTTGAAAGACCCCCGGGCAAGGGTCACAGATCTGTCAGCTGGGGGCTGGGATACAAGAACCCCCTCTGCCAAGTATGCCTTCTCCAGCTGGGGTGGCTGTGGGGGCAAAGGGTGCCAGTAAAGAAAGAGGAGCACTCCTCATCTGCCCCAGCCTCTCTACCAGGCTCAGGATAAGCCTGTGTGTGAGCTCCTTAGAGTAGAGACCCCCTTGAAATGGTTCCAGGACTCTTGGGGAATAGCCCTTTGCCTCACTTGGAGCCCCATTCCCTCCCCCTTCCCCCATGTGACACTTTCTCACCTTCTCTTCCCAGGCCCTCTTCAGGGCCAGCCTTGTGCCCCACAGAAAAGCTCCACTCACTCAAGGGCTTCAAACAGCTGGAGAAATCTGCCTGGTGTCGTATTTTTGTCTCTGACTGGGGCTGAGTCCGGGCCATGTCCAGCTCGAAAGGTCCCACAGCAGGCTTCCCGATCTGCTGGGGCCTGGGTTAGGTGTGGCTTCACTCCTCTGCATCCCCATTCCTGGAAGGGCTAAGCAAGGCAGTACCTACTGGGGTCTCCCTTACTACTAAGGGGCTCTACAGCAGTCCTGCAGCCTCTCCCCCCAAGCCACACTGCCTGGGCTTGGCTGTTGCCACCACCATGCCACCCCCAGCCTGGCTCCAGTGCCAGCTACAGGGACTCGCCAGTTTCCCTCCTTTCCATGCCAGGACTAATCAGCTTCAGGACAAACACAGATGCTGAGTCAACAGAGTTGGGGTTCCACTTCCTTTGTCTGTAGGTCTAAACCCCTTGCGAGCAAAGGGGAGGATGGAAGCAGGGAGCAGATTGCTCTGCTGAAATCTTTCAGGATGCTGAAAGTGCACAAAAGGTCTCAGGTTAGATTCGTCATCTGGCAATCCTTGTGGCAGGTGGAGAGGCACAAGTGTGGCCTCTACAGCAAAAGCTGGGAAAGCAAAGTCAGAAACAGGCTCAGCCAGGCGTGGTGGCTCACAACTGTAATCCCAGCATTTGGGAGGCTGAGGCAGGAGGATTGTTGTGAGTTGGAGACCAGCCTGGGCTACAAAGTGAGCTCAAGCCCTGACTGAATTGCATGGAGAGACCCCGTCTCAAAAAGACCAAAAAATGGCCTGGGGATTTAGCTCAGCGGCATAAGCGCCTGCCTTGCCAGTGTGTGGTCGTGAATTCAATTCCCGGTACCGATAGAAAAAGACAAAAATATATATATATATCAAAAAGACCAAAAAATAAATAAAAATTCTGCCAAAAATCAATGAATCACTTACTATTTAAAAAAAAAAGAAACAGAGGACTCCCAAACTTGGGTGGGGATTTAACAGAATGAGTGGATCAGGAGGGGCCAGAGATCCTTGGGACCCAGGGGCCTCTGCTAGCGGTGGAACAGAAAGGAATGGCATGTCAAGAGAGCCCTGGCTTCCTGTTGTGGCACTGTGATAAGTAGCTGTGCAACCTTTGGCAGGGGGGTCATGCTCATGTTTCCCTGTCCTGATTCTTTATGGAGATCGACTCCTCTGTACATGTGGCCAATGCACAGCAGATCATGCAGATGAAGGGCTTTGACAGGCAGGACTGCTGGGAGGACCACAAGGACTTCAAGGACACTGGTGGCAAATTTTTGGTTCACCTCAAGTGGAAACTCCTATCTAAAAAGAAGCCCAGGGCCTACATCTGTCATCCCTGCTCATCACTAATAGCACAGGATCCCTGGCAGGCAGGAAGATAAGCTACAGGCCAGCCCTAAAGACAAGGAGGTGGGTATCCCCTCCCAACCAGGGGCCACACCCTGCTTCACTACCAACAGGAGGTCTGGGGCTAAGGAAGACGCCAGGATGGAGGAGCAGTTGAACTAATTTATACAGAAAAGTTTATCTCCCCGTAAAGTTTGTGTATCTTTTTTTGTTTATTTGTTTGTTTTTGGTCTTTTTCCTTTTTATTGGTACCAGGGATCGAACTCACGACTGCCTGCTTGCAAGGCAGATGCTTATGCCGCTGAGCTAAATCCCCAGCCCCATCTTTTAACCCCTATGCCCAAATAAAAATGCCATCTTTGAAAGGACTAGGAAGTCCTTATTTTACTTTGGTACCGGGGATTGAACTCACAACCTCACACTTGCCAGGCAGGAATTTATGCCACTGAGCTAAACCCACATCCCAGAAGTGACCTTTTTAAAGATGCAGCTTAGGGGGAGAGAAGTCAGAGGACCTTGAGAGCTCTCTAGCCTAATTCTGCCCATTCCCAGAAGACTGGGTGTCTCCCAGCCCAGAAAACATCCTGCTACATCATAGTACGGCCCTAAAATAAGAAAGCTGGACTGCTGGACAACAGGAGGGTGGCAGCTCAGATTCGAAGGGCTGTACCTAGAGGTGCTAGACTCATGAGGATCACAGGCAGAGAGGCCCTTGGGCCACCCTACCACCTGAGACACCCCTTAGAGACCTCAGCTCTGGCCCTGTGCCTCTGGGGTAACAGGAGTGTGGTCAAGGCTGATGCTCTGGGCTGAAGGCTGGATGGATGGACAGATTTGGGCTAATACAGCCTGTGTGTCCCTGTGGGCTGCAGGAGCCCTGTCTGGCTCCAACCCAAAGTAGGTCAGATTTCAGATAAGCGGGTGGTTTTCCTGTAAGTGATGAAATCCTCCAGTGGACTTAATGAGAAACAGACTACTCAACTTACCTCAGCATGCAAAAGCAGAAGCCTGGTAAGATGCCCCACTCGCATTTCCTTCTCATCCCGACTCATGGCGCACACCGCTCTTAACTGCCCCTCGACTCAGCCTTGCCTCTGCCACCAGGCCTGCAAAGCACCTTCTCCCCAGTCCATGCAGGACTGGACTCCAGCCACATTTATATACAGCACCAGAGCGCTCCGAAGCACCTTCCTCAATGACCCTGTCCACATTGGCCCCCTTCAGAATGGTGCCAACAGGGTTCCCAGTAGCCTGCAGTCTTTGGGACGGCTCCTACTTGTACCTTGTTCTGCCATCTGTCCTGTGCCTCTACACAGTGCCCCACAGCTAACTGGAGTCTACAGACACTACCACCTCCCTTTCCACACAAAAAAAGAGTAGGAGTCTACAAGTCTTCAGGGAGATGACACTCAGCTTCCAAATGGGTCCAGGCCAGGGACATCAGTCTAAATTTTTTTCCTTTTGGTTTTATGAGACAGGATTTTGCTGTGTAGTTCAAACTGGCCTTGAACTCACTATATGTAACCCAGGCTGACCTCTAACTCATAGTATTCCTCCTACTTCACCCTCCTAAATGCTGGGATTACAAACATTTGCCATCACATTCAGCCCCTTTTTATGTTTCGTTTGTTTTTGAGACAGGGTCTTGCCATGCAGTTCAGGCTGGCCTTGAACTCACTACTATGTACCATGTCTTGAACATTTGGCAATCCTTTCATCTCAACCTCCCAAGTGCTGGGATTACAGGCATGTACTACCACACCCAGGTGTTTCTAAATTTTTTTTTAATTTTTTTTTTTCCCCTTTGGAGACAGAGGCTGACCTTGAACTCACGATGTAGCCCAGGTTAGCCTCACACTTCTGGCAATCCACCTGTCTCAGCCTCCCAAGTGCTAGGATTACAGGTGTGCACAATGATACCTGGTAACACCAATGTAAATCTGATTCACTTTTGGGAAGGTATTTCATCACTTCATTGTCTACTGGATGTAATTTTATTATCTAACAATACTGTCATGCCACAGAAAGAACCTTCCTGACCTCCTGGCTCCATAGATACGGAGATCATTAATAACACTTTCCATATTTGGGATCACAGAGCCCTCCAAAAGTCATCTCACCCCAACAAAACCATGCATACAATTTTTTTTTCTTTTTTTTGGTACCAGAGATCAAACTCACAACCACACGCTTGCAAGGCAGGTGCTTATGCCACTGAGCCAAACCCACAGCAATCTCTAGAATCTTTGATGGCCATGAATCCAGCTAAGATGGTGGATAAAAAGGAAAAAGCAAAACAATCAAGGTAACTCAGGGCCCTTTGAGGTCCCCTACACAAGCCAGCATCAAGGCTACAAAGGGCAGGCAGCAGCTGACAGACCAAATGTTTTATTTCAACAGATATCCCTCATTTAAAAAAAAAAAGTTGGGGGAAGAGTTCAACATTTGATCACGCCCAACAGGGGGAAGACTCCCATCCCAGAACTCAGAGCCCCTTTGGAGGCAGCGCTCAAGTCTTTGCCAGCTCTATCACAGAGAGGAGCTGAATTTTCTAACTCGTTAAGAAAAATCTATCAAATATGTTCATTCTCGCAGAGGCGAGAGCTGGTTCCTCAGGGAAGGAGATCCTGGGCTTAGAGCAATGGGGTCCCAGGGATGAAGCTGGAGGCCGGACCAACTGGGCGCAGTCAATTCCAGAGCACTAGAATCCATATTTGGCTTGGGTCTGGCGGCGACTGAGCTTGTTTTCTGACCAGGTATTCTTCAGTTCCAGCTCCCGCTCTTTAGCCTGTGGTAGAAGAAGGCATAGGTGAAGTCATAATGGGAGAGAGAGAGAGAGAGAGAGAGAGAGAGAGAGAGAGAGAGAGAGAGAGAGAGAAAAGAAGTTTAGAATGTCAAGCAGGCCCTCTTCCACTGAGCTGCATCTCTACTCCTTAAACTGGAATTCTGAAACATATTTTCTTCTTACCTCTGTTTTCCAATATAGTATCTTTCTCTTATCACAACTATGAATAACAGATCCCTTAAAAGATTTAGTTTCCTCTTTTCCAAGCAAAAGGGGAGACTCCATAAAAGCAAAAAAAAAAAAGCATCTAACTGGGGTTAAGTGGTTAAGCAGAATAAGAACCTTTGTGCTTACTTGGGTAGAATTAAAGCTCAAATGCCAGGTGAGAATGAATGAACAAATGAAGATGAGAATAAGAAGGCAGCATCTGAAAAGAATGAAGACAGCTGCCCCTAACATCGGAACAGCAGAGTGGGAGGGGGCAGCCACCTCCCTGTCCAGACACAGTTCAGTCTGGAAATGAAGCTTTGCTGCTGTGCTGAATACAGCATTATGTGGCACCCTACAAACCCACACTGGTTTTTGTTTGTTTGTTTATGCTTGTATGTCTGAGGCAGGGTGTCACTATGTAGTCCAGGCTAGCCTCAAACTCAAAGCACTCTTCCTGCCTCAGCTTCCTGAGTGCCGGGATAAGAGGCATGTGCCATCAACCATCACAGCTAGCCAAATATATAGTTCATTGGGCTTTTTTTTTTTTTTTTTTTTTTTTTTTGAGGCAGGGTCTTGCTATGTAGTTCAAAGTGGACTTGAACTATGTAGCCCAGGCTAGCCTCAGACTCATCGTGATCTTCCTGCCTCAGCCTCCTGAGTGGTGGGATTACAGACATGCACCATCGTACCCAGCTCCACACTTTTTTTTTTTTTTTTCTTTTTTCTTTTTTCCGGTACTGGGGATCGAACTCACGACCGCCTGCTTGCAAGGCAGGCACTTATGCCGCTGCCCAGCTCCACACTTTTAAAATAACTGAAGCTAGGAAACTCAGATACTAGCACAGTGACCTTTCTCTTCTAATCACAATAGCTCCTGGCTCCACACTGCATTCTGAAAACATACAAGCACCACCCTAGAAAAGAGGCTCACTAGCCCCCAAGTTATCAGATGCCTACTTACTTCTCCTGGACTTGGACAGGTAGACTATAATTAAGTGTCTGGGATTTAAAAGACCCTACCATAACATTCTCTACGAATTCCCAAGATGTGAGAAGAGTACAAACGAGGTTCTGAAAAGGGAAGTGCAAATAGACAAAGACAATAAAAGCACGATTTACCACCAAAAGCACAACCAGAATGCAATTTCTCAGGACCAAGGCCAGAAGAATGTGTAATGATTAAATATGAGAAGTACCTGGTCATCTCAAATACCAAGACAGAGACTCATTCTCAAAGACATTTCTAGATTATCTGTAATTCTGAAATGTGTGTTGGATAATACAAAATCAGTCTCCTCTAAGGTGGATGTTTTTCTACACTAGTGCATCGACTTTTTCTTTAGTTATTTAAAGAACTAGATAAACTTGCTACTTAAAAACTCTGTAACAAGCCATGTCACTCTCCTCAAATTCTGTTTTGGGTATCTGAATTTTCACGTAGAGTTTATTTTAAACACTTGTACACCAACATTATATGTTTGCAGTCAAAAGCACACAGCAGGACAATGCTGAGGACACATCTCCCCCTGGTGGCCATGCAGAGAACAGGGAGGTGCCTACTGGCTGCCTGATTACAGCCTTCAAAGTCCCAAGTTTTTAGGGATCTTGCCTGGTCAGGGCCCACAGCATTCTTACCTGATGAATCAGATACGTGATTTGGTGTTTCCGTCGCTGCTGACCTGTTGGCTGCTCACCTTTCTTCTTCAAGAAAAGAAAACACAGTGTTTAACTCAACAGGAAAAGAAGTAGAAGTTTCTCATGTGCCCAACAGTACAAGACTGGTAACTGAAAAACCAACTACACAGACAAATCCTGTGCAGAAAAGGCAGTTTGGAGCTTTTTTTTTTTTGTACCAGGTATTGAACTCATGACCTCGCACTTGCCAGGCAGGTACTTACATCGCTGAGCTAAACCCCCAGTCCTTTTTTTTTTTTTAATCTCTATATACTTACATAACCATTATTTCAATTAAAGCCATTATGTAAAAAACCCCAGTTAAGAATGCTTAGGGGCTGGGGATTTTTTAGCTCAGCAGCATAAGTGCCTGCCTTGCAAGCAGGCAGTTGTAAGTTCAGTCCCTGGTACCAATAAAAAGGAAAAAGACAAAAAAAAAAAGAATGCCTCTTGAAGCTGGGCGTGGTGACTCACACCTGTAATCCCAGCACTTGGGAGGCTGAGGTGGGAGGATCACTGTGAGTTCAAGACCAGCCTGGGCTACAAAGTGAGCTCAAGGTCAGCCTGAACTGCATTGTGAGACCCTGTCTCAAAAAAAAGACAAAAAAAAAGAATGCCTGCTTGAAATAGCTCGCTAACATCCATATTAGACTGGAAATATTTTGAGGTCAGGACTGGCTTGTTTCTTTGGTAATCCCTTTCTACCTCCTGCACCAAGCTCAGAGAGCTCTGTCCATGATGGTCAACTCAGGCTGGTTTCATTGCTTGCAGTCAGTCTGAAACAGTTCACCTGCCAGGACTCGTGATCTGCCCTCCTTCCAGGCTCCCACAATCCCCGTGCCCATCTCCCCCTTCAACCCTCTTTATTTCTGTCCTCTGCCCACCAGTCAGGCCAGATGTCTCCCATTTCCTACCTACTGCTGGCCAAGCTCTCCCATCAATTGCTCGAACCCCACCTCCCTCATTTTGGAGAACAAACAGCTTCTCTGGAATTTCACAACCACTTAACCTCGCTAATCTTCCAACTTCCACTTGTAACTACACTGAACCCCTAACCAAACTCTGATGCAAATGATTTGCTATCAGTCTATATTGGGCTGGACTTTCATTCTGTGGTTTCTCGGTCCTCTGTCAAAATTGTCTCAAGCTAGAAGCTTCCTAGCCAGTCCCACCCAACTCTCAAAGCTCCTCTCCAGAGTCTCTTCAGCACTTATGTAATCAATTTGCACTGTAATCATTTACACTCAAGTGTCCTTAAATCTCTTCTTTCTAACTATACTGTCAATTCCTCAAGGACAGTGACCATATCTTTTTCTTTTTTAAAAGCTAGTTCAATACAATGAAATGGTGGGAAGAAAACCTGGAGCTGGGAAAAAAAAAAAATGGAACTTCTAATTCCTTGCTGCTATTGCATGTCATTTAATGCGACGGAGATGACAGATATAAAACATCCAGTGTCATCCTTCACCCACAGTGAGCATTAACAGCAGCAGCTATTATGATGTGATGATGTTTCTCGACCCCCAGTTAGTAGAGCAAGCTCTACTAAGTGGTTTTTCCAGTAAACAGTGATGGATCTATGCTGATCTAACCACAATCCTTTGCTCTGTCCTGTATGACCGCCAGCATTCAGTTAAAACAAATGACTGGGGCCCAGATGGCCATCTGTGGCCACAGAACAAAGCAAAGCAAATGGTGTGTGTGGCAGGGGGGGCAGGATCTGAAATCCTCAACCTTGGCCTTGCTGATGCTGGGCTCAAATCCAGGGCTTCCCCACATTCCTCTCCGTGGCAGGCTCATAAATGCCCATATTTGCTGTACTCTGCTACTAGGTAGAGACCTTCCTCACATGAGTGGAAGAAAACTATCACAGAGAAGGCAGGAGTGTAGGGCATGAAATATACAGAAGAAAAGCACTTGAAAAGACCACAGCTGGCTACGGTGAATAATGGTAAAAGAGCAACAAGGGGGGCTGGGGATTTAGCTTAGCGGCATAAGCGCCTGCCTTGCAAGCAGGCAATTGTGAGTTCGATCCCTGGTACCGATAAAAAACGAAAAAGACAAAAAAAAAAAAGAGCAACAAGGAATTGTATGTTCAGAATAAGGGGTTTTAGCATTCCTAAAGCTTTGTGGCCACACCTCAAAGATGCGCTGAGCCCAGGAAAGAGAGACAGGTAACACTGTGGGGAGAGGGCAAAAACTACGGATTCTTTTTTACCAGGGAAGGAGCACAACACATCAGAAACTGTCCCAACAGCAAGCTGGGATCGTGCTCCAGTCACTCCCTCACAATAGCCAGAGGCCACCATCGAGGTAGACAGCAGTCACAGTGCTGCCAAGTTCTGGAAGGCAGGGCTGGACCTGTGAGGTACCCAAGCGACGCATGTTTGCTAACGGTGCTAACAGTAATGGGGTGTGGTATCAGGATAGGGTGTAGAACAAGATTTGCTTTGTGCCAAGGCCACCTTATGGGCCCTTCCCACTTACTTTGCTGAATGACCTCATGGTCTTCTCTTCTGTCAATGACTTGGTCATCCACTGTTGGGCCCCACTTAGCTGGTCATCACCTTTGATCTCCACAAAGTTGATTTCCTCCCTCCCTCGGTTCCTCTTGCCTTGTAGCCGCTTAAACTAGAAAAGAGGGGAAAAGGAGCTGGGATCTGAGTGAGGAGGTCAAGAGATGTCACTGTGGATCCAGAGTTCACAGAATGACTTCCAGACTCACAACCTGCTTACCCCCAGTTTTACCCATCCTTTCACCTTCCCATCTATCAGGTTCCTCTGACGCCGGATGAAAGGCTGCCTCTCAAGTCTCTTGGACCCAGGGAAAAGAAGGTGAACACAGAGGTGTCTTCACATGTGACAAGTAGAGAGAACCCATACTATCAACTTATACTCATTTATACTCATGTAATCTGTATATGCCTAAAAGAACTACACACATGGGCTGGGGATTTAGCTCAACGGCATAGGCACCTGCCTTGCAAGCAGGCAGTCCTGAGTTCGATCCCCAGTACCGATAAAAATGAAAAAGACAAAAAAAAAAAAAGAACTACACACATGTTGATATTAAAAACTCAGGGTTGGACATAGTAACATATGCCAACAGTTCCAGTACTCTGGGAGGCTGAGGCAGGAGGATCACACGTTCGAGTCCTCCCTGGGCAATTTAACAACTTTGTGAGTCCTGTCTCAAAATAAAAAAAGAATGGAGATGCAGCTCAGTAAAGATGTCCTGGAATCAATTCCCAGTACCAGATAATGGGGGCCAGGATTCAAAGGGCTGTGGCTCAGTGATAGAACACTTGCACAGCATATGTGAGGTTGGGCCGGAGATTTAGCTCAGTGACATAAGCGCCTGCCTGGCAAGCTCAAAGTGGTGAGTTCAATTCCTGGTACCAAAAAAAAGCATGTGTGAGGTCCTGAGTTCAGTACCAAAAAAAAAAAAAAAAAAAAAACAACCAACAGCATGGGCATAGTGGTGCACTCCCTGTAATACCAGCACTCAGGAGACTAAGGCAGGCAGGGTGCCACCAGTTCAAGGCCAGCCTGGGCTAAACAGTAAGTTCAAGGACAGCCTGGACTACAGTGAGACTTTGTCCCAAAACAAAAACAAAACAAAACAAGGCATGGTGGTGCATATCTGTAATACCAGCACTTGGGAGGCTGTGGCAAGATCACTATGACCTCGGGGCTAGACTGCGCTACATAATGCAAGGACAACCGGAACTACATAGTGAGACCCTGTGTCAAAAAATAAAAAATTTAAGATTTCTCTTCTAAAGTTGGTTCTTGTTCTATGTCTGGTGTTTCTCACTGGTCTGGTATCATGAACCAGCAAACTCCACAAGAGCAAGTGGGAGTGGGAACGTAGTATGGAGATGATGGAACCTCACTGCAGGGGCCAAGCAAATTCTCTAGGATACCATTCAGCTTTCTCTTATCTTCTAACCACCATCACAAATATGCCTAAAGGGAGTGTGGGCAAGAGGACAGAAACATGTCTTGGTTCAAACACAAGAAAGGCCTCGGGGCTGGGGATTTAGCTCAGCAGCCTAAGTGCCTGCCTTGCAAGCGTGTGGTCATGAGTTCAATCCCTGGTGGGGGGGTGGGGGGGGTGGGGGGAGAAAGGCCTCCGCGCTTGCTCTACTGACCAGAAACTGACTGTGGCCCTAAGTGAGTTCTCAGCTGTTTCCTGAACTAAGGGCCAAAAGAACCCAACTACTGTACTTGCCAGAAAGCACATAAATAGGGAAGGGAATGAACATGCTATCAAGCATAGGACAATATGTAGAAGGACAACACCCTTCCACGGCAAGGTGAACAGTAAAGAACCAATTCCATGAGAAGACCTGTGTATAGATTCCACCCACACACGTAAGGACTTCTAGGCTGTGTGCTCTGATAGGTGGGACAGTACTCTATATCCCAATATGGGTCTTGCAGCAGCACAAAACAATGCATTTGCCTTGCCCTGTGACACATAAGCTATTTAACCTAGCGGCTGGATACCACCCAGAATTCGCTCTCCCTTCCTCTGTAGTGTAAAGGAACCAAACTGTTAGCCACCTTACCATCCAAACAAAAGACTACACTTTCTCAGCCTGCCTGCAACTAGATATGGCCAAGGGAGCAGGCGTAAGTCAGTGAGATGTAAGTGCTCTCAGGAACTTCGGAAAGTGTCGTGAAAAGGGAGAAAAAATGTCCCTCTTCTTCCTTTTTCCACTACGCTGCAGCTCCAAAGCAGATGTGAAGCCAGTAGCTTTAGCTGCTAGCATGAGAATAAAGGCCACAGTGTAGGGACAGCAGGGAAATGATCAGAAGGGGACTGGATCCTGGACAACGCTTTAGGGTTGTCATACCACCGTGGCCCTGAGCCTTATTTTAGGAGAAAAAAAACACACTTCCATTACATAAGCCAGCATTACTTGCAGTTTCTCTGTAACACATTGCCAAACCTAATCCTAACTCATACAGTTTAGAAAAACTCAAGTTCCTTTAGCTTCAGATTTAAATCCTGAGTCAAAGACAATCACTTAAAAAGTAAATAAATAAATTAACAATCACTTATGGGACTAGGGGTATAGCTCAGCAGTGGACAGCTTTGCTGGGCCAGAGTTCAACCCTTAATACCACCACCAACACCACCACCAAAAAAAAAAGTCCTTTGTGCTGTGTTAACTTACTGCTTCGTCATCGATGAAGGAGGCATCTGGGGCAATTTCCTGGGAGGGGACCAGAGCTGGGTCCTGTGCAGGATAATAGCCACCACTGTAATAATCCTGCAGCCAAAGAGGAAAAAAACACACACACACACTGAGGCATAGGTGAGAGGGGACATGGTTAGCCCAGAAATGGTAAAAGTTCATGAAACAGGCATGGAGAGATGCCCGTACTACAGCCCCTCAGATGGACCAGTTAAAGGCAAATCCAGGGACTTACCCTCTAAACCACCAACAGTCCCTGCAGCTTTCTGATTTGCACCATCCAGACCGCTGTGCATTCTTTAGGGAAGGGTGATAAGGAATAAAGACATTCTCTCCTGCTTCAGTCTGTCCCCTGCTCCCTCAGATACTTCCCAACAATGAACCCCACTCCCAACCTCTGCTGTACCCTCAAGCCCTGCTTCTCCTACTCCCAAGACCCCAGAAGGCTCACTGAGAGCAGCCTAAGAAGATGTAAAGTATTCCAGCCCTGATCCTCCCCATTTACCTCTTGGATACAGGCAGACTGGCTATAGGGGGAAGCTACAAGTTCCTGATGTAAAATAAACTTAATGATTTCAGAATTTATATAGCTGAGAGCAAATTAGGCTTGTATTACCAGATTTGTACTCTAAGAATCTGATGATCCCCCTTTGAAGCGAGCTGCTCAGATATTGCTGCAGACCCAGGAGGGCATAGAGCCAAGGGCAAGGCCTTACTGTGGCCAAATCAGCTGGCTATGAAGCCCAGGAACTGCTTCCTCCTTCTGCCACTTTTTTCCTAATTCTGCCACCTTTGCTCAAAACTCCCTCAAAGAACATTCATTTAGTAAAGAGCAGAATGGGAAACATTTAATATTCATTACACAAAAATAATGCAGAGCGGCTGGGGATTTAGCTCCACAGCATAAGCACCTGCCTTGCAAGCAGGCAGTCGTGAGTTAGATCCCTGGTACCAAGGAAAAAAAAAAAAAAAAGAAAAGAAAAATCCAGGACAACTGAGAGTATGGATTTTCTACAGTAGTATTCAAAATAAGGCACATTTAGAGTTCAAAGTCCTTAGTATTTAAAGTGCTTTAATCTACATAGACTGTGTGGATAGTGTTTAAAACAATACAGGCCAGCAAGGTAGCCAATATCTGTGATCCTAAAATACTGGGAGGCTGAGGCATGATGAAGCCCCGACAAGCAATTCAACAAGACCCTCTCTCAAACTACACTAAACTAGACTATACTACACTAAATTAAACTTAGCTAGGGATTGTAGTTCAGGGAGAAAGCTCTGGCTGGGTTCATTCCTCAGTATCACACCCAAAAAAAGGTACGTAACTAAAACATTTACAGAATCTCAACTTTTTATTCATTTATTGGATGGAAACCAGTGGTTTCTTATATTTTAAATGGGCAGGATCTTTCTTTTGCTAAATCAAAACATCATTATCTTCCTCCTTCCTTCTGTCCACCCTGAGGGAAGACACAGCATGTCTGGTCAGCTTACCGGATGCAACAGAATTTAACATCAATAATTTAGGAAACAAAATCATTTTTAAAATCTTAGTTAAAGCAAGGACTTGAGCTTGGCTAGGTAGTGCACCCCTGTAATCTTAGCACTTGGGAGGCTAAGGCAAGAGGAGAAGCAGGAGGATTGCAGGAGTTTGAGGGTAGCCTGGGCTATACAGAAAGATCCTGTCTCAAGACAAACAAAACACATAGTCCACACAGACATAGATACAAACACAGACATACACACAAAAAACAGGGATCCTGGAAATCCTCCCTTCCTACTCATGCCTAGACTGAAAGACCAACCCTGACCATTCAGTGCAGCATAGTGGCTGAAAGAGACTCAAGTCTTCTGACCACTCTTCACTAGCTTTTTGTAGCTGTCCAATCATGAGGCATCTGTTCAACCATCCCAAAGTCCCCCAGATCCAAAGCACCCTCTTCATTCAGTGAAGCTCCAACTGCTAGAAATGTCCCTCTGAAATCTACCTACAGTGTAGCATCCTAGGTAACCAACCTGAGGCCACATGGACATCAAGTCTCTTTCCCTAAAAAATGTGAACGAAAGATTACAGTAACCACTTACTGAGCATTTACTTTACTCCACGTAGCATTCAAGCTGAACATTAAGATTCTCTGAGAAACCCAACACGATGCCCTCAAATCCCATTCTGCAGCTAAAGAAGCTGAGCCTCATGGAGCCTGCAGTAATTTGCCCCACCTCTCAGAATACACCAGAGTGTGCCAAGCTGGGGACCTGTGCTGTCTCAAAGGAGCTGCCTCAACCCTTCTAGCTGCTCCTGGCACAGTGCAGGCCTCTCCCATCTCCTCATTGCCCCTTCCCACTCGGCTCTGTAGATCCCTTTCCTCCTCTGTCCCTCCTGCTTCCCCATCTCCACACCTGAGGAGAGTCCCTTCTACCTCTAAGTCTGGAGACTGCCCCTCTCCTGGGCCTCTCACCAGCTCCCACAGTAAGACTGTTTTCAGAATGCTACAGTGTGAACAGTGTCCCCTCAAGACCCAGGCATTAAAGCCTTGGTTGCTAGCCTACAGCACTGCCAGGAGTTGGTAGGGTAGGACCTTCAGAAGGTGGACTTGGTGGGAAGAAGTGAGGTCACTGGAAGTGTGTCCTTTCTTCTCTTCTTCCCTGCCACAGGCAGTACGCAGCTTCCCACCACACCCACCCACCATGAAGTACTGCTGCACATCAGGTAGTGGGGCCACTGAACCAAGGACTGAAACCATGTACCAAAATAAACCTTTTCCCTTTTTTAGTGGATTCTTAGGTGTCTTGTCACAGTGATGGAAAACTGATTCACACACAGAATAAAAATGTCAATTATGTGCCTTACCCTATCAGACTGTAAGACTTGCACAAGGTCAACAATAAAAGTAGTTGTGTTTCTGAGGCCTAATAGGCATGAACAAATCAAGGAACGTACACCACAGAGGCCATTTCACCAGCTTAAACTTTACCGGCCCACCATGCTCACATCCCCCAGACTGCCCTCTACCCACCTGATAGTAAGCACCAGCGGCATTGGCATCGCCATATGCAGAAAACTGATTGTAGTTGTAGTCATCCCCAGGCTTAGCCATCCAAGGGGCCCCACTTGAGCCTGCTGCCATCTTAAACTCAAGGGGGGCATTGGCTGCATCGTCCTGGAATGCCAGCTCTGGCTCCGTGCCTGGAGGCAACTCTTCAGGGACAGCAGGGACAGGGTAAAGGTATGGCTCAACTCCAGGTGCCTCGGCCTTCTCGGGAAGGGAGAAAAAGTTCTCAGGGGCTACTTCCTCATCACTGTCATCCTCCTCCTGCGTAATCTGCTTTGTCACCTGCAGGGCAGCACTCTTGGCAGCAGCCTTGATGGCAGAGGGTGATGGAGTGGTGGTTGTGGTGCCCACAACAGATGCAAGAGAGGAGGACTTGGTCTTAGAAGCCAGTCTGAAGGGCTTGGTGTCAGGGGGGCCATCTGAGGGTTTCCGGGAGAAGGCATGGGGCAGGAGCAACCTGTTAGTCTCTTTCACAGTCAGATTTTTAGGTTGGGGAAGCAAGGCAGACAAACCAGTTCCCTCGCCGGATCCCTGGTAATCCCGGGTTTGGGGCAGAAGGAAAGAAAGACAACAAGTAAGATCTTTTTTACGTTCCCTCTCCCCCCACCCCCACCCCCAATACTGGGAACTGAACTTGGCCTTGTGCTTGCTAAGCAGGCACTTGTGCCACTGAGCTAAATTCCCATATAGACAAGTGAGATCTTATGTCATATACTTACGATACAAAAGCAAGTCAGTTACGTCTGCTACCCTAAAATTTCAGCAGGCCTCATTACCTTCTACCTCTACCTACCAGGCCATCCGATCAGGGCCAGACTCACTCAGCCTTAGGCTCTTCCACAATTACATCTTCCCACAGTGAGATGTCAATCCCGCTTTTCAGCTCATCCCAACCAGCTCCACTGCCTTCTGCCAGAGTCTTCCCTAATTCTGTGTCTTCAGCAAATCTGATGCTCTTAGTCTCACATCCTTTCTCCCCAAAAGCCTAACCCTTCCTCCAGCTGATCATGCAACTTCTCCCAGGTCCTGAAGGGCCTGTACTTCCTTTAATTGCTACTGCAAACCAAGTACAAGGCTTTGTCCAAAGAGTCATTCACACGTGTGACCCAAAGTCCCCTCCAGCATACCTCTCTGGTCCACTCAAGGAAAGCTCTGTCTGTGTGACAAAGTAGCTGATGAAGACCAGTCAAGCATTAACTTTTTTTTTTTTTTTTTGGTACCAGGGATCAAAGTTACAACCTTGCACTTGCCAGGCAGGCACTTATACCACTGAGCTAAATCCCTGGCCCTAACTTAACCATTTTTAAGTGCCTGGCCCAGCCCAACCAGAGTTCTATTACTGAAATTCTGCTTTCTGTATGAAGAGCCAGCATAGAACCAGTTGAACTTGGCCTTGCGCTTGTGCCACTGAGCTAAATTCCCAGATAGACAAGTGAGATCTTATGATACCAAAAGCAGAGTGGGAAAAGAAACAAAGTCACTGCATCACTGTCCTAGAGTACCAGTATATTCCAATATTTTCAACCAAGAAATGCCCAAACAAATGAAAACAGGTGGGCTAGGCAGATGGAAAATTGCTCATCTGAACAAGGGTTCCTCTCTTCCCCTGAGTGCAGAGCTGAGTCAATCCAACCTGGCAGCCCCCAGAGGCTCAGAACCATGGAACCAGGTTTTGGAGGGAGCATCTTTTATGTTACTGTAGAAGTATATAGCTTCTTCAATGGAGTTAAGTGGCAAAAAAAAAAAAAAGTATATAGCTTCTCAGTGCCATCTTGCCATGGTTTCATCCCTTGGCAGGGCTGGGCCCTACTCTGACTTCATAGCTCAGAGCTCCTCTAACCTATTCATCCCTTCTTTCCATCTGAAAGACTGTCTGTGACTTGTGGGGTGCATTCTGAGCCATCTCTCTCTTCCGGAAAGCCACCTTGATAATGGGAACAACTGGCCTTGCTTAGATTCAACACACCAACTCTTTGAAGCCTTCTCCTCAGCACGCACTATAAATATGGACATCACCCTCATCAGCAGTCTAACACAACACTGTCCTTTCTAAATCTACTGAGCAGGGTACAGTGGTGTATGCTGGTCATCAATCCCAGCGCTCTAGGAGGCTGAGGCAGAGGACTGCAGTTCATGTAGAGCATGGATAGCTTAAGACTTGCTGTGTAGTTCAGGCTGGCCTCGAATTCATTTATAAGACCCGCTTGCCCTTAAATTTGTGGTGATCGTCTTGCCTTACACACTCAAGTGCCAAGATTGCAGGGATATGCCACCACACTTGACAGCGTCATGTATATGAGTCCTGAAATAACTGCCTTTCAAAGGCAGAACCACTTTCCCTGGGCCATCAGATCCAACAGAGTGCTCAGAGTGTGGAGAGAACAGGAAGAAACTCTGGGGATCAGAGTAAAGGTACTAGGAGGAGAGGAAACAAGCAGACAGTAGGGAGAGTATCTTGCTGAGGACTTCTGGTCTTGATGACAGAGAAGTGGCCAAGTGCAGCAACTGCTTGGGCTCACACTACAGTCAGACTGCCTGATATAACTGCAATCTCAGCTCTGTCTCCACAGTCTGACCTTGGCCAAGTTCCTAGTTTCCTCATATACAAAACAGGGATAATAATAACACTCTGACTTTAGCACTATTATGAGGACAGAATCAGTCAGATACTGGTAAAGCACTCAGAACAGTGCCTGGAACAAATTAAGTGCTGGTAAGTGTTTATTTCCAGGTTAAAAATAAGACCAGGAAAAGATAGACAATTTTAAAATACAGATGCTCCCTAACATCATTCTAACCAATCCATTTATCCCACCCTCCCTAAATAATCCTTTTACCTGAAATGTAATGAACTGAATTGAGTTAGTATGCCTCTCCTGCCCTCTCCCTGCACCGCCTGTCCTCCAGGGGAAGTTAACTCCATCTTGCTAAGAAAGCAGTGAGGAGACCATGGGGATACATCAGGCCTGAAGAGCCCTCAAACCCTAGGTCCTGCACTGCAACTGCCCTGAAAGCTGCTGAGCATTTTAGGGCCTGCCTCAGGAAGCAATATGGGAGAGAAGAGGTGACTTAAGACATGAAGCTTACCTGAAGGACAATTTTCTTCTTTGTGGGTTCATCTTCCTCAGAATCTGACTAAGAAAAAAAAGAAATGGAATAAGGCTTCACTGTTTAGACGCTACATTAAATGAGCACCTACAAAAGGGTTGTACAACCCCTTTGTCCTTTTTCTGTGTCCTACCTCTGTATAGAGGCGCAGCCACTCAGGCCTACAGTAGAGCTTCAGAGATCAGGCCACGCCTTACCCTCCCCTCCCTTTAGTCACCTACTACCTTGCTCCCCAGCCTTTGTGGCATCAATTTTTATTGTCAGATTGACATTATTTCCTCCCACTTTGTCCTCAGCAGACAGAAAAGGCTCTGTTCATTCTTCCTATAAATCCGTCCAGTAGAAGATGAATGGGATTTGGCCTACAATCTCACCCAATCTCAACTTCAGTTTTAAAACCACTTACATAACCTACATAACCACAAGACTGGGGAACTCCAGAGGGATTAAGTGGTGTGTTAACTACTCTTCTCTAAGGCATGAAAGGTCAAAGCCATTGGCAAAATGATCTATTGTCTGCCAGCCAGCTGCTCCTGTCCAGGAAGAAGGCAGGCCAATGATGACTGCAAGGATTTGGGCAAGACAGGAGATCATCTGTGCTATCCTCTGACTCACCAGGACTGTTTCCAAGACAAGACATCACACTGAGGAAGAGTTACGCTCTCCTAGCTTACTGTGAACCTTGTAGCATCTTCAAGTTGAAGAACAATACAAGGCATCTGAATAGTGAGCTTCAACTTTCAACTTTCTAAAAAAAAAAATCATTCCCCAAGCCGGACATGGTGGTGCACACCAGTAATCCCAGCACTCAGGAGGCTGAGACAGGAGGATCTTCGAAAATTTGAGACCAGCCTGATCTACAAAGTGAGCACAAGGCCAGCCTGAACCACATAGGAGGACCCTGTCCCATAACAAACAAACAAAAAAATCATTCCCGGGGCTGGAGATTTAGCTCAGCGGCATAAGTGCCTGCCTTGCAAGCAGGCAGTCGTGAGTTCGATCCCCGGTACCAATAAAAAGGAAAAAGACAAAAAAAAAAAAAAAAAAATCATTCCCCAGATCAAGAAGTTTATGCTTTCCATCTGTTCCTGGAGCCTTGGTTAGCAATCTGTAAATAAAGGTGATTAGGTAAGACTGTAAGGTCCCATTCTCCAAAAGCTTGTGAGAACCCAGCAAGTTAACAGGAAATAAGCCCCCAAGGAATTATCTGAACATTTCACACACACACAAAATTTCAGTTAGTGCCAGAAAGCAAACAGATGAGTAACTCACAGCAGCTGAATGGATGTACCCTTGAGACCACACTCTTAAGTGAATACATTGTACACACGTTTAAATGTCACACTGTTGGGGGCTAGGGATTTAGCTCAGCGGCATAAGCGCCTGCCTTGCTAGCAGGCAGTCGTGAGTTCGATCACGGGTACCGATAAAAAGGAAAAAGACCAAAAAAAAAAGTCACACTGTTTCTCTGCTGTGAAAAACTAAAAGTGTAAGTAAAGACCAAAATGTACAAGAGATATTGGAAAATGGGAAGAAAAATTTTCAAATGAGAAGGGGAAAGTCAAGCATGGTGCTGCACGCTTGTAATCCTAGCACTTGGGAGAATGAGGCAGAAAGATTGCTGCAAGTCTGAGCCTAGCCTGGGCTTCACAGTGAGTTTAAAGCTAGTCTGAACTGCATAGTGAGACTCTGACTCAAAAGCTAGAAAGAGCCAACAAGAGATGCGGGGGAGGGAGGGACAACAAGAAAAAAAGAGACTAAAAGAAAAAAATGGAAACTAAGCTTTTGTAAATGAGGGGGAAAAGGTTGAAGGGCAAGGAGGGAAATGAGAAAAAAGAAGCAAGAAAGACATATCAGTACAGGTACAAATTCCCTATGATGAATGTTGTATCTAAAATGTACCAATAGAAAAATTTTAAAAAGATGTGTAATACACCCACCAATTCCAAGAGGTGTATTAGAGCATCGGAAGCGACATCAACTTATCTTCTATCACAAACTAGACTAAAAGCAACAGCCTTAGCCTAAACACACAGGACTGAATTTTGACTTGAAGGAAACACCTCTGGGAGGTTGAGGCAGGAGGATCACAAGTCTGAGGTCAGCCTGGATTACACAATGAATTTAAGGCCAGTCAAACTACATGGTGAGACCCTATCTCAAAAAAAAAAAAAAACACTTCTTTTTCTTAGCAAGGCATGGTGATATATGACCAGAATCCCAGCACTTAAGATTTCAGGCTTCAGGTAGAGGGCTGCAAGTTGGAACCCAAAAATAAAAGGGCTGGCAGCATGGCACGGTGGCATAGGTCTCTAATCCCAGCAGTCTGGGAAGCTGAGGTAAAAGACAAAGTTTGAGCCCCACTTGAGCAACTTGGTGTTGTAGTAAAATCCTGTCTCAAAATAAAAGATAAAAAAAGGGTTGGAGCCAGTTTTGGTGGCACATCCCAGCACTTGGGAGTCTGAGGCAGGAGGACTGTCATGATATCAGGGACATCATGGCTTAGTCACCAAGGGCAGCCTGAACTACATTGTGATACCCTGTCTCAAAAAAAACATCAACTACAAAAGGGTTGGAGTTTGGGTATGTGGCTCATTGTGAAGGTTCTGGGTTCAATCCCCAGTACCACAATTAATCATTGAATGAATAAACAAATTTGGGATGTGGCTCAAAGCAATGAACAAATGCTCAGCCCCATGTCTGAAAAAGTATTTATGTTTATCATGGTAAAATATGCATATATAAAATTTATCTCTTCCGGGTTTTTGTTGTTTTTGTTATGAGACAGGGTTTCAATATGTAGTTTAGTTCAAGCTGGCCTTGAACTCAGTGATCCTCCTTCGTCAGCCTCCCAAATCCTGGGGCTATCGGTAACACATCTGGCCTAAAATTTATCAGTTTAGCTCTTCTTATTACTTTTTTAAAATTTGAGACAGGGTTTTTCTAAGTCACTCAGGTACCCTGGCTGAGGTCAAACTTGTGATCCCCCTGCCTCAGCCTCCCAACTCTAGGATTACAGGCACGCACCACCACGCCTGGCTTATTCTGACCATTTTTAAGTGTGTGATTCAGTGGCATTAAGTTCATTCACAATGATTTTACAAACATCAACACTATTTACTTCCTGAACTTGTTGCCATCACCCGTTCCTGTGCCCCAGTCTGATAACTTATTGTGCTACTTCCAATCTCCATGAATTTTCCTCTTCTGGATACCTCCTAAGTATAGTCACACGACATCTGAGCTTCGGAGACTAGCTTGTTTTACTTAGCACAATGAGAGGTCAAGACATGTTATAACAGATTTCAGTCCCTTTTAAAGTTGAGTAACATTCCTATGTATGTAGACCCATTTTGCTTTTCATCTGTGTTGCACCCTTGGCTACTGGGAGCTGAACTGCTATGGACATTGGTGTAACTGTTTGATAGATGGGCAAGTTGAGAAATAGTTTTGATCCCTTTGGCAAAGAGAAGGATCGTGCCCATTTAAAGTATAAGAAACAGGGCTGGGGATTTAGCTCAGTGGCATAAGCGCCTACCTTACAAGCAGGCAGTCGTGAGTTCGATCCCTGGTACCGATAAAAAAAGGAAAAAGACACATACATACACAAAAAAAGAAACCACTGATTTCTATCCTTAAAGTAAATAAATAAAAAATTAGGATTCTGGGGCTGGGGATTTAGCTCAGCGGCATAAGCGCCTGCCTTACAAGCAGGCAGTCGTGAGTTCGATCCCCGGTACCGATAAAAACAAAAAAGACAAAAAAAAAAAAAAAAAAAAAAAGATAAAAATAAAGTATAAGAAACCACTGATTTGGGGCTGGGGATTTAGCTCAGCGGCATAAGCGCCTACCTTACAAGCAGGCAGTCGTGAGTTCGATCCCTGGTACCGATAAAAAAAGGAAAAAGACACACACATACACAAAAAAAGAAACCACTGATTTCTATCCTTAAAGTAAATAAATAAAAAATTAGGATTCTGGGGCTGGGGATTTAGCTCAGCGGCATAAGCGCCTGCCTTGCAAGCAGGCAGTCGTGAGTTCGATCCCTGGTACCGATAAAAATGAAAAAAAAAAAAAAAAAATTGGGATTCTGTAAATATTTTATTTACTTTTTCTTAGTGATCCTGAGGAATAATCCCAGGCCAGAGCCTTCACTCTGAGCTATATCCCTGGCCCAGGTTAGTTTAGTTTAGTGTAGTTTGAGAGGGTCTTGCTGAACTGCTTGCTTGTCAGGGTTTAGATTTTCAATCATCCTGCCTCAGTCTCCCAGTTTTAAGATCACAGACATTGGCCACCTTGCCTGGCTGTACTCAGTTCTAAACATGATTGAGGCAGTCTGTATAGATTAAAAGCACTTTAAATACTAAGGACTCTGAACTCTTTATTTTTTTTTCTTTTGTCTTTTTGAGACAGGGTCTCGCTGTACAGTTCAGGCTGGCCTTTGGGCTCACTATGTGGCCCAAACTTGCAATGACAGTTGCAATGATTCACCTGCCTCAGCCTCCCAAGTGCTGGGATTACAGGAGTGTGCCACCACGGCTGGCTAGGTACTCTGAACTCTAAACATACTTTATTTTAAATATTACTATAGAAAATCCATACTCTCAGTTGTCCTGGATTTTTCTACATTATTTTTGTGTAAGAATATTGAACATCTCCCATTTTGCTCTTTAGTAAATGAATGCTCTTTGAGAGGTATTTCTTGAGGGGCTGGGGATTTAGCTCAGCAGCATAAGAGCCTGCCTTGCAAGCAGGCAGTCTTGAGTTCAATCCCCGGTACCAATAAAAAGGAAAGGAAAAAAAGAAAAGAAAAGAAAAGAGAGGTATTTCTTGGAGAGGTATTTCTTGGGCAAAGGTGGCAGAATTAAGAAAAAAGTGGCAGGGGTTGGGGATTTAGCTCAGCGACATAAGCTAAATGTCGCCTTGCAAGCAGGCGGTTGTGAGTTCGATCCCCAGTACCGACAAAAAAAAAAAAAAAGAAAAAAGTGGCAGCAAGGAGGAAGCAGTTCCTGGGCTTCATGCACCTG